CCAAAAAAGTGTAATAGAATTAAATATTATGTTCATGAACAGAAAGTGTGACTTAATTTTAATGTTGACCCATCTACATTCAAAATAAGCTAGCTTAAGCTACACATTGAAGCTTATCTTCAAAATAAGCCACCCTAAACACGCTCTATATGCAAATCATATCAATTTAAAATTTAAGCTCTTAAAGAGAGGACATATATATTATTCAAATGTTCTTCAACACGCCCCTATGGCCGGATTCTTAAGGGCGAGACGTACACAATTTTCTTAAAGTTCTTTTGTTTGGTTATTGTACCATGATAACCATCTCCTCTAAAATCATAGCATTGTACAAAAGACTTGAGTTCATATCTCGCATCACCAACTAATGAAAATTATGCACACGTAAGGCCTCTGATCCTTGAATGAATCTCTATACATGAAGGAACATGTTGAACTCAATATTTAAATGAATATGTGAGACCATTCTCTAACACATTAAGCTTTTGGATGCGATAGTTAAAACTAACCGTACATCTTGATGAATAAAACAATTTCTAAAATATTGCATAGGGAAATTAAAAATGATGTCGGATAATTACTAATACCAACCCCAGAGACAAGCCCAACTCTAAAGCAGTAAACGCAGCCAAATAATGAAAGATAACAAGAATCAAGAAGGCGATGCACAACCTTAATAGCAACATCCTCTCCAGTGGCACGGAGAGTAGCTCGATAAACTTGACCCAAGCTTGCAGCTGCTATTGTCTCTGATGAAATTTTGCTGAACATAGCTTCGAGGGGTTGGCCTAATTCCTCTTCTATGATGTCAAAGGCAACCTATACCACTTTTAATGACTTGTAGCTTAAGGAAGGGCTTTAATGACAGTATTATATATGATATATGCATCATCACAGAGATCACCATCTGAATACCTGATTAGGGAAAGGAGGAACATCATCTTGAAGAATGCAAAGTTCATTCATATAATCTTCTCTAATAATATCTGGTCTATTTGCAAGCACCTGTTAAGGGTAAAGTAACCAATATGCAAAGTAAGTTGGAAAACAATAACAGAAATGCATCCAAGCATCAATATTGCATGGTCCAGAATGGAACGTCAAAGACTACTTAAAACAGAAAGGCAATAGGCCAATAACATCAGAAACATTTAGCAATTATAATAATCTGCAAAACCATAAGGCCCTAAATGCCATCTAATGATGTTCTCTTTTTCAAATAAATTAGTTTAACTCCCCAAATACTCAACTGTAGTCCAAGGAGCACTTTTGACTTGTGGATTTCAAAAAGGAAAAGAGAAATAAGCGATTAGGAAAATTACTACTTTAATCTTCTCACCTCTTTACATTAAAAGTTCAAAGATATGTTTATATATAATTAATGTGTCAAGTGGAACATAATATGGTGACATGCAAGTTTCAATGAGCGTAATGAGAATGTTTCCCTTCCCAAAATCACTTAAAACTTTTTATCCAACTACCTGTCTTGTATTAATCATGAACTTTACTCTCTCCTCATGATCACCACTGGGCATAACATCTTATTTTGTATAAATGACAACTCAATAAAGGTCACACTTAACATCGCTGATAATTATATGAACATTTTTAATTGACCTACAACTCCTATGAAACAGTTCATTTACTCCCTGTTTCCAAGTGTTGTGCAGTTATAACTGGCAACAAAGCCAACAAAAAATAGCAGGCTTAGAATAAACCTATAGACAAAACAGTAAGAGGGGGAAGACCTGTCCAGCTTTGATGAAAGAAGGGCCCAAATCACACAAGAGATTTCGAAGCTGTCGAGCACGAAATGGAACAACCTCTTCATCACGACCTACGGAATAATCATACACTAATGCAGACCAATAGAGCCCCAGCTTCCAGACTATCTCTACTCCTCTACCAATCAATGACAATACTGCCCCTCTTGATTCCAACACTTTGTTCCTCACCTAATTAACCAAATTATTGATTAAAAAAATAGCTATCAACAAAATAAATAAAAGCAATAGCACTTTTAAGTATTTAATAGATAGGAAAAGTTGATGCAACATATATCATATGTGTGATATATCTAAAGCAATACATAGTGTTCTTGTTTCTGTACCTTGCTATCACTTATCAATTCTTACTTTTGCGAAAACAGTCAATCGAAAATAAAACACACTGAAATAACAAAACTATCAAGGAAAAACGATTATAAAATTGTGATAATGAATATTGTTGATGCCATATCAAGATACAGATTCTAAATCACGAAGAACAACAGACCTTGTTGTACATCATGCACCTTGTTGTACCTTTCCCATCATTATAATTTCACTTCAAGATCCCACTCAGTTCAAATTTTATTTCAGCCGATTTCGATGCCCGTTTGGCAAGGCTTCTACTTCAATTTTTTATAGAAGAACTTTCAGAGGAAGCCCCTCTGGACTAGCTTCCTCTAAAAGTTATTTTAAGCCAACAAGGCACTTCCACAAATTATTTAGAGAAGTTCAAAAGTAGATTCTTATTTTCAAGTAGCTTTTGGCTTTTCAAAGGCCGTTTGGAACGGCAATCAATTAAGCTCTTAATTTTTTTTATATGTTCATCCCTTTCTTTATTGGCCTAAGCAGTTATGGAATTTTTCACTGTGAGCTTGATGCTTACAGAACGGGAAAACTGCAGGGCAAAAATTCCCATTTTCTCTTTTATGTCCAAGATTCATTGCTGGCATTTATTACTTTAATCAACCTCCGAACCAGATTATATAATGGCATGTGTTGGCTTCAAGTAATCCGTATAATAAGTTCGGGGAGTTCACAATTTTTGTCCGGTCAAATTATCAGCAGCTACCAATTGTTTTATTCATTGTATTTTTTAAACTGTCAAGATTGTTAATAAGAAAAGGAGAGAGGTTAAATTCAAAATAACAATTCATGATTAATTATGTAAACAACCATAACCTAATTGTATATTACTAAAACATAAATCTACTGGTCCATCAAAATAAATCACAAAAACGAAAATTCAATAATCATTACAATATTTCGTATGCCAATAATTACTTGATCTTTTCCATATTGAAAAACGATTAAAACTAGAAAAATAAAAAAAATATTGCAGTAACAAGAAAGCCATTACATACTGATTCGGGGGTGTACTTGCGGAAGGGAACACAAACACCGCGTTCAATATCCAACTGCTCCAAAGCGCTGTTACTGCTTGTACTAAAACTCTGCCTGTCGAGTTGTACCAACGAATTTCCATTCTGGGCTTGACTTCTAGTTACACTCCTAATGGTATTTCTTGCTCTAAAATTCAATTTGGAGAGGCTGGGGGCTTGGGGTTGAATAAGCAAAGGGCGTATTAATGATGAAGATGAATTACATAAATAATTTGTACAAATTAATTCCATATTTGCAATAATATGTATATAGAGAATCGAAATTCAAAAGGGTTTATGTATGTATGTATATGGTCGTAGGGAGTTGGTTTTGGAGTTGGAATTCAGATCATGCAAGGAGGATTGTGTGATGCTCCCCAGTGCAGGAGATGTCCACGAAATGAAGTGTTGTGCGGACTGCTTTAGTGACTTGTACTTTGTTTTGACAATATTGACTAGTCTGCAATTTGGAGCGTGCTTGGTAGGGACTTTTTGGAGAAGAATTGATTTTTGAATAGTGATATGATGGGAAATGTGTGGTTGAAAAAGAAGAAAAAATTATTGATGTCATGAAAAATATTATTTTATTGAAGAATGTGTGGTTGAAAATGATAATTGATTTACTGCAGAATNGTACTTTGTTTTGACAATATTGACTAGTCTGCAATTTGGAGCGTGCTTGGTAGGGACTTTTTGGAGAAGAATTGATTTTTGAATAGTGATATGATGGGAAATGTATGGTTGAAAAAGAAGAAAAAAGTAATGATGTGATGAAAAATATTATTTTATTGAAAAATGTGTGGTTGAAAATGAGAATTGATTTACTGTAAAAAAATGAGAATTTGTACCAAACATGCTCTTGTCCGTTTTGATTTCCTACTTATAAATAGTATATTGATTAAGAATATGTGATTAAAAAAAAAAAAAGTTATTGATATGATGAAAAATATTATTTTATCGAAAAGTGTGTGGTTGAAAATGAGTAAAAGAATGAGAATGAAATGTGGCTGGCTAAATATTTTGATAATGCTATGGAGCTTCAATGATGGTATTAGGCCAATTGTCCAATGAAGAATGTTTTTTTTTTTTAAAGAATTAAAATTCAGATTTTAGTCTAAATTTAAATCAAAATCAAAAATTAATTTTTATCACATATTTCACGGTTTCATAACTTGTTAAACACATTTTTCATCAACTTTTATCATAATTTACTAAAAATTTAATTTTAATCACCACCAAATAAAGGTGTAACGTATTGTTATGCAATGAACAAAATGACAGTTCGACTAAGGGCTTGTCTAGAGGAAATTAAAAGTAGAATTTTGATCGTTAGTGGGTCCCACAGCTACCTAAAATGTGTGAAGGAAGTCAACAATAGACGCTACTAACGGTCCAATAATTGCTTAAAATTTGGATTAAAATTGTCACCAGACAAGTTCTAAATAACATTGTTTTATAGTTTTTACCCTTTAATTTTGTTTTATTCTAATACTTCGGTTGTCCATGAATTAACACGAAATTGTTCACATAGCTTATCGTACGAGAATGTGCCTTTTTTATGACATCCAAACAAATTACTTCATTCTTTTAAACCGTTGCCAACCAACATTAGAAACATGTGTACATAATATATTAAACTAATAATATCACCAAACAAGTACAAGTTGCAACACATTAGGCTGAGCTATTCCCCTTACATAATATAAATCGACAAGTGCGAGTATTTACATTACACAGTGAAGTTCTATATAAGGAAGAACTATTGCATTGAGCGCGACATCATTATTCTACCTCAAACTTTGCACTCTCCATAGAGAGTTGCTTTATATGACTAGTAATTATATGTTGGCAAGCTACGGAAAGAGACTATTATAATGTCAGAGCCTATGTATCCTCCGTACAAAAAAAATAAACCAACTAGTGTTTTTAGACAGCGCTGCCACCATCGTGCCCAAATGATCACTCCCTCATCTAGTAAAATTGATGCATTGGTATTTAGAGCTTGTTTGTTTCCAATTTTTATAGTAAGAATGCATTTTGGTATCAACCATGTTATAGGTACCTACGGAACAGACTCAGCCAAAGGTGGGATCAACATTTTTTTTTCCAATATTTAATACATGGGGCCCGCACCATGTGATCGAGAATTCAAATTTCTGTTTAATTTCTGTATAAATTTCCTTGTACTTTCATCATTTTTCATCATGCTATAC